TTTGAGATGGAGTCTCTCTCACTCAGGCTGAAGTGCAGTAGTGTGATCTCAGCTCGCTGCAACCTCTGCCTCGCCTCCCGGGTTCAAGCAATTTTGTGCCTCAGCTTCCCGAGTAGCTGGGATTACAGGCACTCGCCACCACACCCAACTAGTTTTTGTATTTTTAGTAGAGATGGGGTTTGACCATGTTAGCCAGGCTGGTCTTGAACTCCTGGCTGCAAGTGATCTGCCTGCCTTGGCCTCCCAAAGTGCTGAGATTACAGGCGTGAGCCACCATGCCCAGCCATCTTCTCTTTTTTTATACTTTTCAATCTAGCGGTTGATTTGTCAATTTTACTGATCTTTTTCAAAGAGTAACATTTGGTTTTGTTGATTATCTCTCGTTTTTCTATGCTCTTATTTATTTCCACTCTAGCCTTTAGTATTTCCTTCTTTCTGCTAGCATTGGGTTTAATTTGCCCTCCTTTTTTAGGTCATTAGGTGTAAAATTAGATTATCTATTTTATTTTTCCTTTTTAGAGATAGGGCTTCTTGCTCTGACACCCAAGCTACAGTGCAGTGGTATGATCATAGCTCACTGTAAGCTCAAACTCCTGGACTCAAGTGATCCCCTTCTCCTACCTTAGCCTCCCAAGTAGCTAGGACTACCGGTACATGCCACCATACCTGGCTAATTTTTAATTTAATTAATTAATTTATTATTTTTTGAGACAGAGTCTCGCTTTGTTGCCCAGGCTGGAGTGCAGTGGCGTGATCTCGGCTCACTGCAACCTCTGCCTTCAGGGTTCAAACGGTTCTCCTGCCTCAGCTTCCTGAGTTGCTGGGACTATAGGTGCATGCCACCACACCTGGATAATTTTTTTGTATTTTTGGTAGAGACAGGGTTTCATGCAGTATTTGTCTTTCTGTGTCTGGCTTATTTCACTTAGCATAATGTCTTCCAGATTCATCCATATTTTCACAAATAGCAGGATTTCATTTCTTTTTAAAAAATGGAATAATATTCTGTTGTGTGTGTGCATATATTTTCTTTATCCATTCATCCTTTAGTGGACGTTTGTTTTCATATCTTGACTGTTGTGAATAATGCTGCAATGAATATGGAAGTGAAGATTCTTCTTGAAGATAGTGATTTTATTTCCTTTGGATGTATACCCAGAAGTGGGAATGCTGGATCATACGGTAGTTCTGTTTATATGGTGAGAATGTAGAGTAAAGAGAACCATTATATAGTCACATGCCACATAATGACATTTATTTATTCTTTTTTGTTTTGTTTTTTGAGACAGAGTCTCGCTCTTGTTGCCCAGGCTGGAGTACAATGGTACAATCTTGGCTCACTGCAACCTCTACCTCCCAGGTTCGAGCAATTCTCCTGCCTCAGCCTCCCAAGTACCTGGGATTACCGCCTCCCGCCACCATGCCCCGCTAATTTTTTGTATTTTTAGTAGGGACAGGGTTTTGGCATGTTGGCCAGGCTGGTCTTAAACTCCTGACCTCAGGTGATCCACTCGCCTCTGCCTCCCAAAGTGCTGGGATGACGTGCGTGAGTCACCACACCAGGCCTATTTATTTATTTTTGAGATGGGGTCTGGCCCTGTCACCCAGGCTGGAGTGAGTGGTGCAATCTCAACTCACTGCAACTTCTGCCTCCCAGGCTCAAGCGATTCTCCTGCCTTAGCTTCCCAAGTAGGCAGGATTACAGGTGTGTGCCACCATACTGATCTAATTTTTATATTTTTAGTAGAGATGGGGTTTCGCCATGCTGGCCAGGCTAGGCTGGTCTCAAACTCCTGGCCTCAAGTGATCCACCTGCCTCAGTCTCCCAAAGTGCTGGGATTACGGGTGTGAGCCACTGTGACGGGCCCACATAATGACATTTAGGTCAATGAAGATTAATGGTGGTCCTAGGATTATAAAGGAGCTGAAAAATGCCTTTAACCTAGTGACATCATTGCTGTCATAACCTCATAGCACAATGTATTATTACATGTTACTGCAAGGCCAGGTACAGTGGCTCACTCCTGTAATCCTAGCACTTTGGGAGGCCGAGGTGGATCACCTGAGGTCAGGAGTTCAAGACCAGCCTGGCCAATATGGCGAAACCCCATCTCTACTAAAAATACAAAAAAAATTAAAATTAGGCGTGTGTGGTGGTAGTTGCATATAATCCCAGCTACTTGGGAAGCTGAGACAGGATAATCGCTTGAATCTGGGGGCAGACGTTGCAGTGAGCTGAGATCACACCATTTCACCCCAGGCTGGGCAAAAGAGCAAAACTCAGTCTAAAAAACAAACAAAAACTCCAAAAAGCCTGCACTGCCAGTCATCTAAAAATATAGCATATACAGTAGTGTGCAATACATAATACTTGATAACAATAGTAAATGACCATGTTTCTAGCTTATATATTTAATGGACTGTTTATCATTATTTCAGAGTGTACTGCTACTTATATATATATTTTAACAGTAAAGCAGCCTCAGGCAGGTCCTTCAGGGAGTATTCTAGAACGCATTATTATCACAGGAGATGGTAGCTCCATGTGTGTTATTGCCTCTGAAGAACTGGAGTGAAACAAGATGTGGAGGCGGCAGACTGATGATGATCATGACCCTGTACAGGCCTAGGCTAATGCATGTGTTTGTGTCTCAGTTTTTAACAAAAAAGTTTTTTTTTTTTTAGTTAATAGAAAAAAACTTATAGAATATGGATAATAGGCTGAATGTGGTGGCTCATGCCTGTAATCCCAGCCCTTTGGGAAACTGAGGTGAGAGAACTGCTTGAGCCCAAGAGTTCAAAACCAACTTGTACACCAGAGTGAGACCGCCTTTCTACAGAAATGTTTTTAAAAAATTAACCAGGTGTGGTGCTAGGTACCTGTGGTCCCAGCTACTCAGAAGGCTGAGGTGGGAGGATTGCATGAGCCCAGGAGGTGGAGGCTGCAGTGAGCCATGGTTGTACCACTGCACTCCAGCCTGGTTGACAGGGCGAGACCTCTAAAAAAATATATGGATAATAAAGAAAAAATATTTTTATACAGCTGTACAATGTGTTTGTATTAAGCTAAGTGCTTTTACAAAGAAGTCAAAAGGTTAAAAAAATTAGAAAGGGCCTGGGCACGGTGGCTCACACCTGTAAATCCCAGCACTTTGGGAGGCCAAGATGGGTGGATCACAAGGTCAAGAGGTCAAGAGCATCCTGGCCAACTTGGTGAAACCCCCTCTCTACTAAAAATACAAAAAAATTAGCCAGGCATGGTGGCAGGTGCCTGTAATCCCAGGTACTCAGGAGGCTGAGGCAGGAGAATCGCTTGAACCCGGGAGGCGGAGGTTGCAGTGAGCCAAGATCGCGCCACTGTACTCCAGCCTAGGCAACAGAGTGAGACTCAGTCTCAAAAAAAAAAAAAAAATTAAAAAGGTGTATCATGTAAAAACATTATAGTATGCTAAGGTTAATTTATTATTGAAGAGAGAAAAATCTTTTAAAATTTAGTGTAGCATAAGCGTACAGTGTTTGTAAAATGTACAGTAGGGTTCAGTAATGTCCTAGGCCTCCACATTCACTCACCACTAACTCACTGACTCACCTAGAGCAACTACCAGTCCTGGAAGCTCCATTAATGATAAGTACCATAGATGGGTATACTATTTTTTATCTTTTATACCACATTTTTATAGTATCTGTGTTTAGATAACACAAATGCCACTGTGTTATAATTGTCTATAGTTTTTAATACAGTAACATGCTATACAGGTTTATAGCCTAGGAGCAATAGTCTATACCAGACAGCCTATATGTGTAGTAGGCTATACCATCTAGGTTTGTGTAGGCCGTATGTGTGTAGTAGGCTATACCATCATACACAATGATGAAACCATCTAACAATTTCACAGAATATCCCCGTTAAGTTACACGTGACTGTACATTGTTGATAAGAATGCAAATTGTTACAGCCATAATGGAAGACAGTATAGAGATTCCTCAAAAATATTTAAAATGATCTCTGTATGATTTCAGTCTTTTAAATTTTACTGAGACGTGTTCTGTGACGCAACATATGGTCTGTCCTGGAGAATGTTCCATGCACAATTGAGAAGAATGCATATTCTACTGTTGGGTGAAGTTCTCTATCTATGTCTATTGAGTCTAGTGGATGTATAGTGTTGTTCAAGTCCTCCATTTCCTTGTTGATCTTCTTTCTAGCTGTTCTATCAATTCTTGCTAATTTTATGCTCAGTTTTATCTGTTCTGGAAAGCAAGATACTGAAGTTTCCAACTATTATTGTAGAACGGTCTGTTTCTCTCTTAATTTGGTGAATGTTTGTTTCCTATATTTTGGGGCTCTGTTTTTATGTACATATGTGTTTATAATTGTTCTATCTTCTTGGTGAATTAACCCTTTTATCAGTATATATTGTCGTTATTTGTCTCATTTAACAATTTTTTACTTAAAGCCTATTTTGTCTGGTATTATAGTTATCTCAGACTCTTGGTTACTATTTACCTGGAATATCTTTTTTTCTAATGTTTTACTTTCAACCTGTTGGTGTCTTTGGATCTAAAGTGAGTCTCTTTAAACAACATATAGTTAGATCTTGTTTTTTTCCTAAATCTATTCTGCCAATCTGTCTTTTAATTGGTCACTTTAATCCATTTATATTTAAAGCAATTACTGATAAGGAAAAAATTACTTCTACCAGATTGCTGTTTGTATTCTATATATTTCATATCATTTTTGTTTCTCAGTTCCTCTATTACTGCCAGCATTTGGGTTTAATTTTTTCTTGTGTACCATTTTGATTTCTTCCTCAGTACCTTTCCTGTGTTTGTGAGTTACTTTCTTAGTAGTTACCATGGGAATTACAATTAACACCCACAATTTATAGATATGTATATTTTTTAAGGCCAACTGCAGTGACTTTATTTTAATGGGTTTTCAGGCGTACAGAGAGGGGCTCTTTAGATGGGGCTGTGTCACTAGTCAACCACCTTCACTGGGGAGTCCTAGTCACTATGACTGTTTTGTAGATCAGGATGATTCATTCAAATTGTCTCCTCTTCCATTCCTTCATAATAGGGTACATGGTGTGAAAGTACATCCCACCTTCTCTAGTACATTGTATTCAAGCAGGTCATTGCTACTTCTCTATTGTCATTAATCTTTTCATCATCTTCTTATTCCTCTTAGCACAGTCAGGGCATAACATATTATCTTCTATGCCTGGGGATGGGAAAATGCAGGCAGGCAACAAGAAGAGAGAAATCATCCTCCTGCCAGTTGTAGGCACCCAGGCCTGACCTGCATGAAACTGCAGGCGTACCCAACCCTTTGTGTCTGCTGAGAGAAGCTGGCCATGGACCACACACCACCTGACACCAGAAGCTTGCATCAAAAAGGCCTCAACAGAAACACGAATGGAACACAAATTCACAGCCTTAGGATGAACAGCTCTTGCAGAAATTCTTGCCCACGATGCCAACATGGCTTCCTGCACTGAAGTTATCGCTTCAACTGTATTAGTCTCTTCTGCTGTCTCACTCATCTTAAAACTTTTCTGAAGCCTTGCTGTCTTGGTCACTGCCTTGCTTTTCCTTGAACACTGCTGTACTCTGGTCTCTTGTAACATTTCAGGCATATCTTGCTGTTGTTCAGGGTAAGCATGCCCATGGAGCCTCGGATAAAGTTCTGTTTTCTTGCCCTTCATATTCAAACCAAGTTCTTGACACCAGTTCCACAAAGTGTCTTGACACACCTTACTAATAGGAGGCAAAATGGTCGGCATCGGAGGGGCTGGTATTTTGCATCTAGCTTTTCGTGGCGCTGTAAATTGTTCATTTGTTTGAAGTAGATTAACTTGATTGTATTTCTTAGGCTTCTTCAGTTTGACATCAGAAGTTGAAACACTTGGTTCCATTTGTTCCATATTTGGTTGATCTTTAACTGGCACCAATGTCAAAATCACACTTTCCTCATCATCTGCTTCCACCTCAAAGAAATTCTTCTTACTGTTATCCAAATTTGAGTCTGACATTTTCAGCAACACCTGTGTTGCCTAGGCTGGTCTTGAATTCTTGGCTGAGCTCCCAGACTCAAGAACGATATCTATTTAGTTTCAATAGCATATAAAAAGTCTGCCTATATACAGCTTGAATCCCCCTTTTGTTATTGTCACAAATTAAATTTTTATCCATTATGTGCTCTCTGATATAGATTTATGATTATTTTTTATGTCTTTGTCTTTTAAATTCTATAGGAAAGAAAAAGAGTTACACACCAAAAATACAGTAATACTGGATTTATATTTATGTAGTTACCTTTACTGATGTTCTTTATATCTTCATATGGTTTTAAGTTACTGTCCAGTGTCTACTGATTTTCATTTCAACCTGAAAACACCCTTTAGCATTTCTTGTAGGGCAGTACTACTAGCAACACACTTAATCTTTAGCTTTTGTTTATCCAAGAATGTTTCAATATGTCTTTGAAGGATAGTTTTGCTGGATATAGAATTCTTAGTTGATAATTCCTTTCTTTCAGAACCTCAAATATCTCATCCCCCTGCCTTCTGGTCTCTATGGTTTCTCATAAGAAATTGGCTATTAAATCTTAGCTGCTTTCAAGATTCTCTCCTTGTGTTTGTCTTTCAACACTCTGATTATAATGTATTTTGGTGTTGATCTCTTTGAGTTTATCCTACATGGAGTTTGTTGAGTTTCTTGGATATGGACATTATTCATCAGATTGGGGCATTTTAAGCCATTATTTTTTCAAATATTCTTTGCCCCTTTTACTCTTCTTCTGGAACTCCATAATACCTATGCTGGTGCAGTTGATGGAATCCTATAAGTCCTTTAAGCTCTGTTCATTTTTCTTCTTTTCTTTCTGCTTCTCAAACTGGATAATTTTGATTGCTCTATCTTCAAGTTCACTCATTTTTTTATTTTGCCTCCTCAGAGGTTTGTTTGAACTCTTCTACTGAGTTTTTTCACTTTGAATATTTTACTTTCAGCCCCAGAATATTTCAGTTTCTTTTTCTCCTGTGAATGGGCCATACTTTCCTGTTTCCTTATTATGTCTTATAACTACTTGTTGAAAACCAGGCATTTTGAGTATTATAATGTGATTAGTCTGGAAATCAGGTTTTCCACTACCCCACTGTTAGCTGCTGTTACTTGTTGTTAAAGTCATCCATTTAGTGACTTTTTCAAACTAATTTTTTTTTCAGACTATATTCCTTGTCATGTGTAATCACTAAAGTCTCTATTGCATTATCTCAGTGGTCAGTCAATGACCTGACAGGTTTCCTAAAACACTAAGAGCCAAAAAAAAAAAAAAAAAAAAAAAAAAAAATTAAAAGCAAAGAAAAAAAAATATCTCCTGGGACTCGCAGATTGGCTCTGAGCTGGGATGCTCCTTCAGTGCTTCGACAGTCTGACTACAATTCTGCCTTGGCCTTTACCCTTTTTTTCTTTTTGAAGTGGAGTCTTGCTCTGTTGCCCAGGCTGGAGTGCAGTGGAGTGATTTTGGCTCACTGCAACCTCCATTTCCTGGGTTCAAGCGATTCTCCTGCCTCAGCCTCCCAAGTAGCTGACGTGACAGGCGTGAGCCACCATGCCTCGCTAATTTTTGTATTTTTAGTAAAGACAGGGTTTTACCTTATTGGCTAGGCTGGTCTCATTGAACTCCTGGTCTCAGGTGATCCACTTGCCTTGGTCTCCCAAAGTGCTGGGATTACAGGCATGAACCACCATGCCCCGCTGACCTTTACCTTTTAATTCCATGGAGCCCAAAGATCAGTCAGAATTGCTAGTCCAGGGTCCTCTTAAGTCTATTCTGAGCATGCATCCAGCCCTGGATATGTGTGTTGCATTCTAGATTCCCCATTATATGCAGAAACCCATCAAAGCCTTTATGTCTCTGCATATTTATATCCTTAGCCTCTTGTTTCCAGGTTTTTAGGTCTGTCTGCTGCTTGCCCCATCCTCTGTCCTTACTCTAGGTGGCTTTTGGTAGTATAAGATTTTGACAGACACTACCTGCAAAGTTACTACACCCCTGAGAGAGTTCTGAGGGGATCAAAACAAAGACAAGACTTTATGTTGATCCCTCAGGGAACTGCCGGTTTAAAACACAGTCACGGCTGGGCGCAGTGACTCATACTTATAATCCCAGCACTTTGGGAGGGTATGGTAGGTGGATCACTTGAGGTCAAGAGTCCAAGACCAGCCTGGCCAACATGGTGAAACCCTGTCTCTACTAAAAATACAAAAATTAGCTGGGTGTGGTGGCACATGCCTGTAATCCCAGCTACTCAGGAGGCTGAGGTGAGCTAATTACTGTAGCACAGGAGGTCGAGGCTGCAGTGAGCCAAGATTGTGTCACTGTACCCCAGCCTGGGTGACAGAGTGAGACTGTCTAAAAAATAAATAAAATGAAAAATAACCAATAAAACCACAGTAAAAATTTTTTAAGAACAGGTTCCATATTGCACCTTCTGGCACCAGCAAGCCACACCAGGAACACTGGCTGCAATCCTCATGGCTGTTGTTTAACTGAAGAATGTGGGATAGCAGGTAAGTAAGCAAAAATACTACAGTGCCAAAATTCAGCAGTCTTTCTTCTTTAATCACTCCCCAAGTTGTAATTTTTTATTAGCTTCTAGAATTTCAAAAAAAGCTTATTATGATGGTTTTGTTGAGCTTAATGGTTGTTAAGGGACCAAACTTTGGAGCTCCTTATCCCACTATTTTCAGTGATATTTTCACAACTGGTCATGTATATATACTTCTAAAATGGATAATATATATGGTAAAAAGTACACACAGGGAAGTCAGTATCTCTCTACCCTCTTTGCCCAGATGTAATTATTACTGTTTTTCAGTGTTCTTTCAGAGATACTGTGTTCTTTCAGGGATACTGTGCATGCACACACACATATATATGCATACATACACAAATATATAAGCAAATATGGAAATACGTGTACACACAGATGTGCACACATAAAAATGAGCACCTGTAGGCCAGGTTCTCTTTACACTCAGGTTCTCTACATGTATTATTTCATTTAATTCTCCCAGGAATCCTATGAGGAAAATACTGTAACCTAGTGTGAAACACTGCCTGTCTAGATCTTTGTTTTCACTGCAAATGATTGTACATAGACACAGCTGCCTACTATGCATTTTTACTTACAAATCACCATATAAATATCCCTTTTAAGCAGCTGCATATTGCATTCTATGGATAAAATATACTTTCCTTAACCAATATCCTATTGAAGGAGTTGCTTTCTGTCTTTTACAATGCTGCAGTGAACAATATAAATGAGGGGCTTATATATGAAACTAGCTATAGGATTAATTCCAAGAAGCATTTCCTCATAATTTTGTCATTTCTACAGTGTTATGGGAGACTTCTCTCTTTTTTTTTTTTTTTGTCTTCCATTTGCTGGGTAGATTTTTTTCCATCCCTTTATTTTGAGCCTGTGGATGTCACTGCATGTGAAACAGGTCTCTAGAAAACAGCATACCAATGGGTGTCACTTTTTATCCAGCTTGCCACTCTGTGTCTTTTAATTGGGGCATTTAGCCCATTTACATTCAAAGTTAGTATTGAGGTGTGTGGATTTAATCTTGTCATCATTATGTTAGCTGGTTATTATGCAGACCTGTTTGTGTGGTTGCTTTATAGTGTCACTGCTCTGTGTATTGAAATGTGTTTTTATAGTGGTTGGTAATAATCTTTCCTTTCCATATGGAATGCTTTCATTAGGAACTCCTGTTTTGTCAGGAACTCCTGATCATTTATTAGAGCTGAGGCAAGCGTGGGCTTAAGGTGCCACCTAGAGCCAAAAAGGAAGCAGTGACCTAGCAGTAAGAATTTCATTAGCAAATATATTCAATAAAAAACAAAATGAGCCAGACAGAGAAGACTGGAATAAATAATTCTTCAATGCAGATATATAGATGTAAACCCACAGAAAACAACAGCAAACAGGGAATCATGATTTCCCCAAAAGTACAAAGCAAAAATCCAATGAGACCCTAAGGGGACAGCAATTTGTGAGCTCTCTGATCAAGAATTCAAAATAGTGGTTTTAAGGAAACTTAGTGATCTCCAAGATAACACACACACACACACAAAAATTCAGAAATTTATCAGAGAAATTTAACCAAGAGATTAAAATACATTTTTAAAACTCAGAAATATTGCAACTTAGAAATACATTTGCTGGATTGAAGAACTCGTTAGATGCTCTCAGCAGAATGGACGAAGCAGAGGAAATAATGAGTGAGCTCAAACAGCAGCTACTTGAAAATACACAGAGAAAAGAACTGAAAAGAATGAACATTGCCTACAAGATCTAGAAAAACACCTGGAAAGACCAAATCTAAGAATATTGGTGTTCAAGAGGAAACTGCAAGAAAAAGAGATAGAAAGCTTATTCAAAGAAGTAACAAAGTTTTCCAAAACTTGAGGAAGATATAAATATCTAGGTACAGGAACATCTGAGAGCACTAAACAGATTCAACCAAAGTAAGACTATCCCAAGGCATATAATAAACTCTCAAAGATCAGGGACAAAGAATCCTAAAAGCAGAAGAAGAAAAGAAGCTAAAAAACATAAAGAATCCCCAGTTCATCTGGCAACAGACTTCTAAATGGAAATCATATAGGCCAGGAGGGAGTGGAATGACATTTTCAAATTTTAAAAAGCTACAAGAACACTATAGCCAGCATAATTATCTTTCAACACTATACCCAGCACAATTATCCTTCAAATACGAAGGAGAGAGATAGTCTTTCCCAGACAAGCATATGCTGAAAGAATTCGCCACCACCAGATCCATCTTGCAAGAAATGCTAAAGGGAGTTTTTCATTCTGAAAGAGGAGAACATTAACATGCTAAAAGAATACTTTTCAAAGTATAAAACCCACTGATAAATATGCAGACAAACCCAGAATACTCTAATACTGTAACTGTAGTGTATAATTCACTCATAACTAGTATGAAGCCCAAAACACAAATCTTTCAAACA